AGCAACTGCAAAAGCAAACTGTCAACCAAATACCTCTCTTATCGGCCTACTGTAATTGTCTGAATCATCCAGAGGTTATGGCCGACTAAAACTCAGTTATTGGCTCCGTCCTCTCTGAACGTCTAACCTCAATCATCTATTCCAGTTGTTAAACTAATCTTCTAGGACTGTGGATGTACACGAAAAGTCTGTTCAAAACTTAATGTGGGTAAATCTTGTGATCAATTTGAAAGAAAAAAAAAGGGCAAAAACGGTTAATTTTTTTTTCGGAAGAAACAGACATCAGGAAATCGATAGTCAACGGCTGCAGGTAAAAAGAATGTAACTTGTCGATGACCCGGTCACGCTGTTGTCGGTTTTCAGATGACTTTTGCGGGCTCCAGGCGATAGGGTCATATAATGCGCTACACTCATTTCAACGAAATCGTAGTTTTCCTTCAAAAATTTCATTTTCCACATGTAAATTTTTTGACAACACTACAGAACACAGGTGAAGATAGAACAGACAACCGGGCGACAGTCTTCCAAATAAGAAGACCGCAAAATGAAAATCTCAGTGTAACAACAGGTCGCCAACTGTGACGACTACATGTACGACAACGTCGTCGTCGGCAGAATACTATATGCACCGATATTCGCTTGTTATTTTGTCGCCATCAGCACGTTATGTTAACCTAATATCATTCATAAGTCCCCTCCTTGGCTGTCTGTAATGGGTGAAAAAAAAATTTGTTTTTTACTTCTCCTGCCCAATTACCAGCATCGCCAATAATACTAACACCACCGACACTTCTGGGAGCATCATCACGCTATACCAAAAATCAACAACAGTACTAAGGAGAATCACGTATACGTAACAGCAAAAAAACGATGTACTTTAGAAGCAAACAGAATCCAACCAAGAAATAAACCGGCTGATTTCAGTTAACAATAATCATTGAAAAAACAAAGACCCAACCTGACTATCAGGTTGTCCACCCAAATTCTCCAGTAAGATCATGATTTAGGCTACTTTACAGCTTCATACAGCGAATGAAAAAGCAAACCACGGCTTGTTACTTTATCAAAGCCTTAAAACAATTAACAAATACTGTAAAAACCTGCAACTTTGAAATGGAAAAAATTAAAAAAACAACGGACAAAAAAAAAAACGATAAAAAGAATTCACAACGGTAAGGAAATCTACAAGTCTCGATTACACAGCAGACCCGTTTAAGCTGACTAAAAAGATCTATCTCTGATGACATCAATTTTTCGAGAAAAAAAAACACATAAAAGTTGAAACAGATAGTTCTGTCAAGAAAACAAGACACATGAGAAACGCATGTTGAGAATTACAGGCATCACTCTTCTTCTTCATTTTCTGTCCTGAAAATGCCTACAATCGTTCATTCATTCATTTGCTATTTGGCAGCAACTGGAATGTCCAACAAAAAAAAAAGGGATGTAGTATTTTTTTCAAGCTCTTTTCAAGATACTTAATTTGTAGAAAACAGAAAAGAAAACTAAATATTTCAATTTCCTTTTTTTCTGATTTAAAAACAATACATCAACCAACAATTACTTTTTAATTGTCTTGTCTTTATTTCTAAATAACAAACGAGAGGAAAGGAAAGATATATAAAAGTTGTAGAACCAATGAGAAACTAAGAAAGAAATCTCGAAGACAAAACAACTTTACTTGAATAACAAATTAATAATTGTAAATGGTTTACTGTATAAATGTGCTTTTCCATGAAATCGGCAAGCCCTAAATGGAGACAAAGAAGCTGTTTCAGAAAACGGTAATACCACAGATATAAAGGGAACTTCCAGCTACTGCGCATATCAGCAACTGGCTTCTCGCTTTAGCCCAACAGCATTGATTCGGTAGACAAACTGCTGGCCGGTTATAGTAGCATAAGTCACTTTCGGCAAGTATTACTGCAGCTAAGTGTTGTCGAGCTGATAGAAGAACTCAGAATCTTCACATCATCAAAATCCCTTCACTTTCAATAAACACACATTTAACAAACTTGTCCCAGTTATCTACAAGCAAAAATTTCTCCTAACTGTCTAATCAAATCACATAACCAGCTGCCAGAATTGTCACCGTCAGCATACCACTGGCGCTGCCAATGCCAACCCTTAACCAACCCTAAAGAAACGCCGCATTGTCAAACCATGATGACATATTACACAGCACATAGTTTACGGAAACTTAACTGTTAGGTCCAAAATGTAGAGGAAGTTCGTCTAGTTATTGCGTGCAAAACAACCACAAAATGGTAAACGCTAAGTTCTTCAAGAAACGAAAAAAATGAAGCAAATAATAAAAAAATAAGAACAAAAGTAATGATAACAATAATAGTGTAGAAGACAAAAACCTTAAACAACTACTGTTTTAAAACTGATCTGTTTCAACGATTGAAAAACCAGTGCACCAGTTTTCTCTGTTATGATACTAACTGATTTTCGATCAACTTTTTCTTTTGATTACTTTTTTTTCATTTAATTTCCTCAGCAACTGTTGTAATAGAAAATAAAAAAAATTACTGACGGTAGACGACCTGTCCTTCCTAACTTTTTCAAAAACTGATTTCCTTCTGCTAGTCAATTAACGTTAGCCATAACAAGTTGTCAGCGCCGGTCTACTCCATTCACTATCACCTCCCCTCCTCCTATTCCTTCTGAATCCCTGCATCACCTCTTCTTCCTCTTCATCAACACTACCTACACTGCGATAGCTGTGAATCATGTCAACGAAAATTGAATGTTTGCAACCGATTGTTCTACAATACGAAAACAACACGAAAGGTCGCGTAAAATCTGCGCAAATTTCGTTTTGAATCGATGAGAAAAAAAAATGTCTAAAAAAAAAGTGAAACTGACATGTGCATTTCAAACAAAAATATAAAAATAAGAAAATAAAAAATAAAACAGAAAAAATTAAAATGAAAAACTCAGTTCCAAAAATTTTTCAAAACGGCTGAAATATTGTTCTCTCCAAAATAGGTTGCTTCCTTTTTTATCCCCTCCCCTCCCCGCATTTCCCCTTCTCTCACTTAAGAATTACACAGATGACCATCATCATTATCATCGTCGTCGTCGTCAACATCGTCATCTTCCCGTCCCTTAAAAATCACCAACAAAAACTAAACAAAACCACTACAATATATTTGTAATAATTGATTAATGATAAAAAAATAACACGCATTTTCCTCCTTTTTTTTTTCTTTGAGCAATCTCCACCAACTTCGAAACCACATTAAAAAAGCTACTTAAAGACTTGAAAAAATTCTTTTTAATCAATCTACAACCCTGTACTTTTCTGTATCGGAAAAATACCA